TACCTTGCAAGACCTTCCCTTCCCTGCAGGGAGTGAAGGGATGGATGTCTTGGCCTGCGATATTTGGATATGGAAGCTCTTGGTCATGCGGAGATGGAGGAGCAAGCCTAGGAACTGGCTGCCCACCTTTTGAAAACCTGCAATGGGTGCGAGCTGTACTGGCCCAAGGCCGTCAAAGAGTGACCTCTTGTTAAATGTCCCATGCCCTGTTCTGGTGCTAGAGGAAGCCTTCCCCTGTATCACAAGATGATTGTCTGGATTTCTTTCCCTTGGTCTGTTGCTTAGTGTTCCTTGCTGAAGCTTCTGCCTGGAGCACTGCCCACATTTATGGGAATTTCCTGCCCATTTCTTGCAGGGTGGTCAGCTTGAATAGCAACTGGGAAGGTCTGCTGTGCCCTACCTAGCTGATTTGTGTAAATCAGGTGCTGTGTGTCCCAACAATGCAAGCCTCCCCAGCTCAGTCTTTCTGTTCCTGTCTGTATGTTGTGTGAGGCCACCCTCTGCCTCTTGGACTTTGTACATACTGTAAAAAGGAATTGTTTGAAATCTGTTGTTTTTTTCTTTCTTTCCCAGCCTGGGAGTACTTATAGTTCCATTCATGTAGAAGTAGCCTCTTTGAGCTTGGGGAGAGGTTGATCCTTCATGGCAAAGCCTTATTTGCCTGCTGCCTTACAAAAGAAAGCACATGGTGACCTTTGACTCCAGGAAGGAAATGTGCTGTGAATACCATCTGCCATTCCAGACCGTGCCACTCAAGCACATCCCGAGAGCTCTGCCTACAGAAGCTCCTCAGTGGTGACTGGCTTTGGTATCCAAACAGGAAGTGCAATGGGAAAACCTTAATGTGGGCATGGGAGATACACAGTCTGCTTTGAGGAATGTTTTTCTCAGAGGTTGCTATCTTATCAGCATGTTGTCCTTTTACTGCCATGTGTCAGCTGTGTAATGACCTGAAGCTGAGACAAGGCTCCAGTGCTTTTAAGCTTTGTTCATCATACACAGGAGGATACAAAAATTGTTCTCAGAATGCAAACTTCAGCTATGAAAAGGGGACATATGATGTCCAGCTGGTCTGAATGGATTGGTGCCCTCTTCATTCCTTTTAGCGCAGAGTGTAGCAGGAGGAAGGTTTCTATAGAAGCACCAACTTATAATCATTTCTATGCTGCATTCCTCATGGTTTTAGGAAGTCACTTCCTCTGTTCAGGTTCCCTTTTGCCCCTTCACTTTAATTAGTACATTTCTGACCCTGGAAAAATGTCTGCCTCAGATCAAAGTCTTTTTTTCATTGGAACTGGTATGCTAAGGTTTCATTTAGAACTTGCAGCCTATGCTGTATAAAAAAGTGTACATTATTTGCTAACATTTGGGTTTTTTATGCACACTTAAACACACACCACCAGTGCTGTGGGCCTCTGTACATGCAAGGTACTGAGAGCAAAGTAAATAGTTAGAAGAGATAATCACAGAGAACAGGTGGATCCTCTTTTGATCTCTACTTCTCTCAACGCTGAGGAGTCTCATTGCCTTTTAATTTTTTACTGTCCTGGCCCTATTAAACTGGAGTCAGATGCAGCATTGACTAGACTGAGCCTAGATAGCTTAATCTAGATGTGTAACCACTGTGTACTTTTGTGCTAGAATGACTGCATCACTGCTTATTTTTATAGAATTATTCTATGACAGATGGAGATTTAAGGAGCAATGCAGGGTACTGACTACTGGATACCTTTTCAGTCACTTTTTTGATTGCACTAAATTGCCCACACGTAAGGGATAAAACCAGTTTATATATAAAAAAATGCAATCATCATTTCAAGCTCTGTTCTTTTCAGCCCTAATGAGGGTTCTGTGCTTAGCACACAGTGCTCACGGCTAAGGTGACACTATGCTACTTTTAAAAAGATTCTTAATCAGATCTTCAGTGATCAAAATGAGGCGGAATGGTGCTAAAACTAATCAGATAGTGCTTTATCAAGATGAAAAATTGTGTTCTGGACAAAGGTGTAGGAGATGATAGAGGGCCATCCGATGTCAGCATCATGGAGGAACCCATGAGGATTGAGGAAACTACCTATGTATTAAACCTCTGTACTGCAACATGCGTATGATGGTAACAAAATCAAACAGCAAAAGGTAATAAACGAGCAAACTTTTTCAGGGATAAGGTAAGTAATGTTCTTCAGTGATCACTGTTAGGGCCCTGTTTTGCAGTATTTTTATTGCTGACCTAGGGACACAGAGGAATGGGTTGAAGCTTGCAGATGAAAACATAATACAATAGCACCAGTTCAAAAAAACGTATTTGAAAAACCACACAAGACTATCAGGACAATCTTTCAAACTAGAAAAATATGAATGGGATTCTCACTAACTAAGCATTTGGTGGGTATATTTGTTGGAAGTTAAGAGAAAAATAACATTTGCTGATTACACCCATAGTATTCAAATGGAGACATGGGCCATTTGAAGAGGCAAATTACTTTGGCAGGGGAGCTGAGACAAGTGGAACTTCTCCTTTTGCAAAAGACGCTGGTACATTAAGTAGATTGCTTTTCCAGTGACCTCATCTTCGTAATCAAGCAGCTGCTTGGTTATAGAGAGGGTTTGTGTGTGACTTTTATACTTGTGCCTGCAGATACTTGCTCAGACTGGATACAGTAGAGCTAAGGGATGTGGACACAAGCTCAAACTGGATTACATACAGTGTACCACTAACTGGCAAATACTCATTAGCAACAAGGAGGAAGGGGTAATTAACTGGCTGTTGTAGCTTGCCAAAAATGACACTAGAGGGTAGCAAGAAAAACTTTCTCATTCACTGGATTTGTTTTGCTTTTTAAAGATAATCATGTGTATGAACAGAGAAGTACTTTAAAGTTGCAAGATCAGTGAGTCACTAGTGTAATATTATTATGAGAAACAAATGTCATTTAGGATCTAGCTGATCACAAATTACTACTAATAGAAGTACTGGCATTTTTATGTGCCAGCTGCAGCAAGGACACAAGTGAATAAAATACAAAGTGAACAGAAATAATTTCGAAATGCCAGAAATGCATTTTGGCAGTTCTGACAACCAGGGGCAGGAGGTTCTGGAACAGGGCCTCCAGAGCAAGATACAAATTGTTTCATAAGGGAGCATAATAAATTTCATGTCCTCTAAGGAACCTTACCTTTTCCCATAGTTTTAAGAAATAGGCTGAATGCAAATATGTTCATGGACCAATTAGTAACTTACTTAGCAAGTTTCCTATGCCCTGTATAGGGATTCTTCTCCCTATTTACACAATATTCACCAAGTGCTTATAGTCCCACATAAAGCAAATTGCCATTTGTATTTACCATCTGTGTATGAATTACTTCTGACAACCAGATCATGGTAGACATTGAGAAAATGTGTGCAATGAGTACCAGGACTTTTCTCTAATGCACTGAAAGTACCAATGCTTAGAGTTGCAAATTCCTCAGTAGACACCTAATCCCTCTCTTTACTCGTAATACAATGCCAGCTTCCATTGGGTGGGAGGAGACAACTTAAGTTTATTCCCATACATTCCTCTCCAGAACCCCAATTTAAACACTTCCCATTTCAAGCAGTAGCCCCTTACCTAGGTGAGAAACATACTGGCCACTTCTGGGGTAAGACCCCATAGGATTCTGCAGAACTCCACCTATGAAGACTAAATAGCAGATACCTAGCTACAAAAAAAGCATATTGCACATGTATTCCCTCCTAGACTGTCTATATTTTTGCTTTTTTGTAACAGTTGAATCATCTTAGCAAAAATCAATATAAGCAAGTTTTGGATACCATTGTTTCACATTGACATCAGTTAAACAGACAAGGAAAGTGTTTGAATCGTATGTTATGAATGAAGCTTGAAGGAACTGGCTGTCTTAAGAAAATATAAGCAGGATAGTTGTCTTCCATTCTACAAAAGAAAGCCGTTAAGGGAAGGATGAGATGAAGCTTCAAGCACCAAATAGTTTTCAGAAAATTTTCCTAGTTGTTTATTCAGCATTAAGCACTAATGCATGCAGTAGTGCTTAATTCCTAGTGGGAGAGCATAGGATTGCTTTGTTTATAAGCATACTGCAGTCCATTCCTAGGTTTCTCAAGAAAAGCTGGCTGCAAGGGCATCAGTCAGAGCTGCCAGCATAAAATTTTCCCATCACCAGCTGGGGAGGCTAGATTTGAGTACTTGTTGCTTTATCCTCCAATTATAATTTTCACCCATTTATTCAAAATCTCCACTCAGAGTTTTACATCCACTTCCACTACAGAATGCAGTGAAAAACAGCAGAACTATTACAATTCTGGGAAAGGGGTGCTTATGCAGTTCTTTCTCTCTAAAAATCAGGGTCAGCTTCACATGTTTTTTGAATGCCCCTTTTTATTGAAAGCTGTACTAATGCAGTTTTAATACTAACCTAATAAAAAGGCTAGAAAGAGCACAAAGCTTCTCAGGAACCCACAGTGTTGGTTACTCCAGGGGGTACCACCACCTAGGCTTTGCTAACAGTGTTACTGTTCCTCACATCCCTATGCCCAAAGCATGCCTCCTGCTTAAGTCTGAGTGAACACAAAAGTATACAGTTATTTAAAATGAAAGCCAAATAACCAAATGAACAGAAAAGCCCAACGCTAATTTAACAAGTCAGATCTGTGTCCCTCTTCACCTCTGAGCTCCTTGCCCATTGGGTGGCTGGACAGGATGTCTGTCCACTAGGCTAACCAGCAGACAACAGAGCTGTATGAAAGGGCTCCATTTACCTTCCATTTACTATTGTGCGATTACATGTGCAGACTTTATATTATTCACTAGGTAACACATTTCAATGGAAAAGTCAACTCAGAAGATATACAGGTCACTCTAACAATAAGAAATGCAGTTTCAGTCCAGAAGAATTTTGTTTTTCCTTTCCTCCGAAGAGGAGTTTTAGCCCCCTCTCGTCTTTGAAGCATGTTCGGGTCCCACTGAAGTGCTGCACTGGGTCTAATCATCATCAGAAGAGACCTGATCCAGGGGGTATACCATGAACAACACATCTGGTCGTGATGGGACACAGGGATGGCCAGGCCTCACAATTTCAAAGCCCAAAAAACTGAATGTCTTCAGTAATGCAGCTGCAAAGACAAAGATTGGCAACATCAGATAGGTGTGGTTGTAAACAAGCTGTGCTCCTAATGCAAATTCCATGACTTTAATTGTATACAGAAGAAACCATTCAACAACAGTCTGTGAAGGTTGAAAAAAGTTTCTTCCCTGGCTCGGAATTGTCTAGTAGGTCTTGCCATATTTCATACCCCTTTTCTTGTCCGTTCTGCGCTGCAATCCTGTTGGTTACTGGTTCGTAATACCTGTCATCCTACTCAACAATAGTTCAGCCGTATTTCTTACCTCTCCCCCACTCCCGCTAGCCACCAAAAGGAAAACACAATGTTACACTAGAAAGAAGCAACTCGGTTAGGTGTTAAGGATAGCCAAATGCCAACCATTAATGGCAAGTTCACACGTAATACTCAGCCAGACCTCGGCAAAGTGTGAACATGCAAGTATGCAGATACGCATAATAAAAATCCTAGCCACTTCACTCTTCTCCTGTCATTGCATTGCACAGGGCTAAGCCATCATTTGGCTTAGATCTGGACACAACCTAATACAGTGGTGCCTCGCAAGACGAAATTAATCCGTTCCGCGAGTCTCTTCGTCTTGCGGTTTTTTCGTCTTGCGAAGCACGGCTATTAGCGGCTTAGCGGCTTTAAGAAAAAGGAAACAAACTCGCAAGAACTCGCAAGACGTTTCGTCTTGCGAAGCAAGCCCATAGGGAAATTCGTCTTGCGGAACGACTCAAAAAATGGAAAACGCTTTCGTCTAGCGAGTTTTTCGTCTTGCGAGGCATTCGTCTTGCGGGGCACCACTGTAGTTTGCCAGCCCCAGACAAACCATAAGCAGTAAGCCAGGAATGAAGTTTGGTTATAGCTCATGCTTTCTGGGGAGGCAAGCCATAATTCGGATGTAATGCTAAGGCAGACCGTGTCTTAGCCCTGGGCTCTGCAACAGGGATGATCAGGGAGAGGAGTGGCTGGAGTTTTACTGCAAACCCTAGCACACTCCTATATTCACACTTAGCTGTGGTTTGGCTTAGTGCGGATCAGGATCCAATAATTACATTGATGTACAATCCTCTTTTTAAATATAAAGTCTGATTTTGATACTGATAATCTAAATACAAACCTGAAAAGACCAGAGTCCTGGAGCCAGATTCTAGACTACCTCTAACAAAAAACTCCTCAGAACAGTTTTAATCAATATGCAATTTAATTCCTTTGCTTCTAGATAAGCTTACTGTGAACAGGTCACTCAATGCACAAAAGAAGCAATTCAGAGGAAAACTGGCATAGAAAGGATTTGCAGTTCCTCTTATAGTACTGCCACTGTTACAACATGCACCTTCAATTAGTAATTATATGCTTTACACTGAATCCCTAAACTTCCTTGATTTAATCTTCTATCTATAGATGCTTAACGCATTTTCTAAAGGTCTGGAAGAGGACAGAGGCATTGAAAGTCCAGTTCGTCAACCTCACTTAAACCTGATTTAAGAACTTGGGCATCCAGCCAAATACAGCTATTGCACAGACATGCAAAGCTAACAAGAGAATGTTACTTCCTTTCTCATTTGAACCAAAGAACTGTAGTATTCTGACTGGAAACATATGTAGCAATCTTATGTGTAGTTACCCAGGAATAAGCCCTGTTTTGAGCATTCTGAGTAAGTTGCACTCAGTCCTCCAATATTTCAAGAAATGCTGTAACACCATTCAGACTATCCCCAGCAAAGCCCTTTAAAAAAACAACACCCCACACACATTAGTTTAGAATACAACACTTGGCACCTGCAGGAAAATTTACCCCCAAAAGTAAGGGCTACTCTTGCTACTCTGCAAGCCCCAAGGTTAAGATTGGTGGGGATAACAAGAGGCTAAAGCACTAACCTCTGTCTTCTCTGCTTTTTCGGAAGCAAATAAAGACATAACTTGCTTTCATTTTTTCTTCAGCAAATTCCAACAGTGCTAATAATCTGCCAGGGGAAAAGGAAAAAAAAATCACATCATACAGACACAATTTCCCTGAATTTGTTAGCTTATTGTAGGGTCTTCAATGTGACTGTCATTCACCCCAACCCACTATTTTGCCAGACTGCCAGAGAAGACACAGAAGTGCCAAGAAAAAGACCTTGCATTTTTGGGGGGGGGGGGGTGTCAAAAGTAGAAATTTAACATGGCTGCTAATGAGCATATGCACAGCAGCACACAGGAGGAAGGCAAGATGTTACACACAGGTCCCATGAGTTGTAAATATAAGTTCCAGAAGGGTATGTTATTGTCCCTAATTCCTTCAATTTCCTTGGAAGACCCCAGAGAGATGGAATCTGTTGCACAGGTGGGGATAAATATGACTAGACTCAGGTCACTTTATTTCAGTAAAGCCAGCACACACAAAAAAATGTAAAACCACTTAACATCACAGCATGGACATCAAGTAAGCAGGACTCTTGGGAGGGCATTCTGTAAATGGGGTGCCACTACTGAAAAGACCCCTCTCCCTAGTAACCACCTCAAGCTCACCCTTAGCCTGGAGCAATGAAACCCAACACATTCCAAAATACTGCAGATTCAGGGGTTGGTCTACTCTGCGTAACCCTCATGCCAAATTCTGAAATACTGTACGAGCCAAAGCACAGGGTGACCTCAGCCCTAACCCTCTGCTTAGCCAGGCATCGCTTGCCACTGATTTAGCAAGCTGCAGTTAAAAATCAGGCTTTAATCATTGCTTAAGTGAACAATGGCCACAAGAGTCAAAAGCAGCAGCAAGCAGAGATTAACTTGGAAGGGATTTTGTTAATATGATAATGATCCATTTTAATTATAACCTTCAAGCTGCTTATTTTAGCTGGCTAAAAATAAACAGTTATGCAATTGTACTGAAACCATGCCAACAGTAGAAGTACTGTCAAAAGAGTGCTGTTAAGAGGATGGGATGAATGGGCTGACACATTTCTAAAAAGGAAATATAAAGGATAATTTGCCCTTAAAAATTGTGTTGTTACCTTTTTTTGGATATCAAGTTATCCGTGTACTAGTGGAGCCCATGTGCAGGAATCCAGAGAGGGAAGAGAATGTCTTCCAACACTCGCAGAGAAATATGGAGCAATCAGACATATCCCTCCTTCCACAGCACCCAAGTACAAGATAGTGGGGTGCTCATTTCTATACTTACTTCCCTCAGCAAAACACAAAGGCCAGCAAATCCCTTCCAGTCATCACCTGGAGGGATAACTGGTTTCCAGTTCAAAGCAACTGAGATGGGAAGGAAATGGGTTCTACAATAACACCCTTTTGGTGAGCTGTCTGAACACAAATTTCTACCCCCGCTCTCCGAAACAAAGCGAGTCTGCATTCTCCACAGCAACTAGGGGAAGGGACAAACCAGGAAATACTTTCATGAGTTCTTAATCGTGCTCCCTCTCCTTGAACCTGAATTTCAGTGTCTTAAATCATTATTTCAGTCCACCCAGCAAGCACAAACAAGGACAGGACAAAGAAGGAAAACAGATTACCAATTCTGACCTTGCCAACCAAGGGTGGAATCCCAAGTTGGGCAAGCAGACTTCTACTTGCACAATGAGACTTCAATATCCTCTCCTCCCTGCCAGCACACCACTATAATGTTCTCAAGGTTCCCCTCCACCTCCGGAAGCAAATTTTGTAGAAGGCTACAGGGCTAGGATGGGGAGAGCTCCATTAGTGTGTGGTAAAGAGGGTAATGAAATCACACTGCACAAGCAGAAGTCTGTTCTCACGCTGGGATAGTATTGGATACAACTAAAAAGCACGTACTGTCCACAGCATATATCAAAATATGATAAATTCAGCATCTGTCAAAATGGGTAAATTCATTAAGAATTGGTTACCTCATACTCAAGAAAAACTACTCTGGCAGGGAACAAGAAGGTGCTGTCTCTAAATTAATCCCTCTGAGGCAGATACAAGCAGCATCAGATGTGGAGGGAGAAAATAATGAATATATTTCAACACTTAGATCTGGGTTGCTTGATTTTAGAGGACACCAATGATACAGTGTTAGAAACTGAGATATGAAAGCTAGGAGCTGAATGGCGCCTTAAACGTAGGCTATGGGCGCTGCAACAGAATGTCTAGGCATGCTTTTTTATAACAAGAATACAAAGCTGAAAATGAATGAACTGCAGCTAAAACCTTATATTCATTTTTCACTGCCAAAAACAAAGCCATACTTCCCCTGCCTACCCCCCTAATATTCTTATGAGGGTCCCTTCTCCAGTCATCGAAGTGGCTGGAAGTGGGGAAGCAGAAAAGGGTCCTCCTTTTATTCCAGCAGTGGCAGTTTTAATCTGAAATCTTAGGCGCAGTACTGCTCCCAGTGCTCAGAAACTGCTCGCGCTCATGAAATTTCCTGTCACAAAACGCTCCTAGAACAATGGGAGCTTCAAAGGCTGCATAGATATAATGAGTGTAACTGAAACCTAGTGGCAGGGTTTATTCCACCATGCAGCTGGACAAATTTTTGTACAGTGTCAAAAATAAATTGTACGGTAAGACGTTAGTTTTTGCAAATCAGGCATATGGGATTTAATAAGGAACTAAGTAGCTTCTTTTAAAAAATAATGAGAAAAGATAGAAAATGAAGATGAATACTGGTGTCTTTCAAATCATCGGAACCTTAACAGTGTATTATAGTATATTATAGTATATAATGAGGCTAACTACTTAACTAGTCAAAGGCATTGATTCATAGCGAATTCTACTTAAACAGTATATGTCATTACATCCCAGCAGAAAACTGCCATGGTGGTTCCTTTCACATTATGCTAAGCATGTTAAAATTTCTTTTGTTTCAAGATGCGGTAGGGGAGGTTGGAGGTCAGCTTCAAAGTTATGGTTTGTGGGGGAAGGAAGTCTCTGAACCCAACTCTAAGTTAAGTAAGGAAGATAACTTATTCCCACTCCCATTCTTTTCAAGGCGCCTCTATTTTTCTTAGTATCTTGTTGTCCTTCATTTTCACAAATTTCCTGTCTTTTCTTCTTTCCCTGTTCTTTTTTCCTTCCTTTCTGTCTCTCTACAAAAAAGTCGGGGGAGGGCACTGTGCTGGCCACTTGTACAGTTGGGGGCAAAAAGCTTAGAATAAACCCTAGTGTTTGGGGTGAGCCATGAGGCAGCCAAGCATGCTGATGACAAAATTTGTTTAAAGTGGTTAAAACAAACAAAAATTGCAACGCGCTAGCTCCAAACATTTTTCTCCCATCTGGGTGAATGGGCATCAGAATGGCAAATGCAATTTAATATAAACATGTGTAAAGTGATGCACATAATTTCCACCAGTTTTCCTGGACAGATGATCTATATTCCTGGATCCCTCTTTCAGCAATTTCACACCAAAATTCTTTTTAAAATGTTCAGGTGGATGGGAATCAGGTCTGTCCATTCTTTATGTCAACAAGGCCTGGAATTTTGCCTCTTGTCCCCACTTTTTGCCTCAGACTCCTTTCCTGAGAAAGTTAGTTTAAGCAGAGGGATCTGTACTACATTTTCCACTGTAAAGACAAATGCAAATAAATTATCCAGCTTCTCTGCAACTCTCCTTTTCCCCCTTCAGCACACCTTTGATTCCTTTGTCTACAAGCACTTTAGTAGAGTATGAGACTCTTAATCTCAGGGTCGTGAGTTTGAGCCCAACACTGGGCAAAAGATTCTGGCATTGCTGTTGGTTGGACTTGATGACCCTTGTGCTCCCTTCCAACTGTACAATTATATGATTCTATAATACCATGATAGCTATAGGCTCAAACACTTACCCTTCTTTACTCCCATCAGCTAATACGCCATCAGGGATTTCCACAAAAAGACTCTGATTGGATAGCACTGCATCCCAAGAGGAGACCTTTACTTCCGTAACTTTGTACTGGAAGTGGACAATGTGTGGTTTCCCATCGTGCACTGGAAGATCTTGGTTAACAGTGAGCTTCTCATCCTTAAAGAGTGACAGAAAAAGATTTAAAAGTGTTAAAAGGAAGTGCCAACGAGAATATAATATTCATTTTTTCTTCATTGCCATGAGGACTAAAACCTAAAAATACTCTATTTTTAAAACAACTACTGAATGTCAGTGCTTCTACTTAATTAGAAAGTTTGCTCAGTTACAGCTTAAGTTAATTTTCGTAAGAAACTATTACATATGTTGCTTTTGATGACACAGTCCAACATCTCTGAAGACTGGGTCTTTTGATCCCCAAATCAAAGTCCTATCCCCTGGGCGATCTTCAGGTGGGTACACCTTACAAAATAACTTTCTGCCAAGAGAATTATCAAAACCTGAACAAACTTATTTTGCCCTAAACCACTAGACATTCTCCTGGATAACTTAATTTGTGGCATATAGAACTGCACAGGGAATAGTTTAAAGCTCTGCTTCTTCATGAGCATGGGATCTTCTCTTGTTCAAATCAGAAAGCAGGACAGCAGCTACAAAGCAACTATTGTCAACTGTGTGTTGTTGTTGCTTTTTAAAGAAAAACAGCCAAGCATATTTTTTCTCCATTTCTTGACTGGATACAGAATATGATCCAACTATGAACTTGACAGATAGATATGTACATTTTAACAGAATCTTAAAATCCGCATTGTATAATAAGATTAGCGAGGTCCAGTCACCCCTGCAAGTTAATTAAATATTAATAAAATAGGTTGGGTTACAAAATTAATTTTTGTATGAAGACTTCAAGCACCATCTTAGAAAATGCACTCCCACTTCTGGAATAGCTCTTCTAAGACCACACCAGCAGTGATTTCCGAGTATTAACTAAAAGCAAATATATCATCTTCAAGATTAGTTTAAATCGTATAAAAACCCAGAATTAATCAACCAAATTAAAACCCCCGCTATCAACTAATTTTTTTTTTTATTAAGTGTCTTTTAATCCACTGTGTGACTAACACCCTAGTATTACAAAGATTACTTGAATGGCAACTCTGCATTTCAGGAGAATCTCACTCAACTGCTCTTCTCACCATGTTTTTGTAGTACAACATACTGAACAAAATGAGTGTCGTTACTATGCAAGCATCAAATGATGAGCGGTTGTGTCAGAACAATATTTAAATGAATTGTGTAGGGAAGGTGAATATTTCCCTTTATAAAGACACAAATATAAGGAACCATTTGCAATCAAAGAACTGCTCAATTCAACATGAGAGGCAAAAAAAGAAAAGAAAAGAAAAGAAAAGAAAAAAGAAATCACACCAGCAGCATATGATAACCAATATTCACAGGCATTAAGAACTAGTAATAGTCAGCCAGTATTCTTTGGTGAGATCCAAAGATGACTATGAATAGGCCTTTTCTACAGCAGAGCTTCAACACTGTAGCTTCCTGTTTAACACTGGCCTACATGGCATGTTTGCAAATATAACTCTTCTACTCCTGGAAAGTAGGAAAAAGCAAAACTTCAGAGACCAGATGGCAAAGGCTTGAGATTTGCTAGTCACAGCTTTATCAGGATCCACAGTACAAAATGAGAATGGTGAACAGTTTCAACCCGTCAGAATCAGCTGTGGCTACTGGTCTCTTCAGATTAATCTATAGATGGCTCTGCAACTGCCCACCCTTTTCAGTTTCTAATCTGAATACTGAAAAGAAATTCATTTGCCTCTTTATTCCTTTTTCATGGCAATAAAACATTCAGAAACCCATTCTATGAGTCAAAACACTAGCTTTGTAAGTGTTATGGAAACACAACTCTGGGGAGAAGAGCAGTTGGGTAATTATTTAGAGCAATCCAGAGGGAGAATTGAAACCTAGTGTTGTTTTCTCCATTATACACACTCCAAATCGGTACTGGCTTGGTGCAGACTGCCATTTCGCTATGCTTCCTAATTTGTTGTATCATAAAAAGCAAGCACTGGGGGGTGCTGAGAAAGGGTACCCAAAGTCCATTATTTGAAGAAATAGCCCAGACTATACAGTACTGGAAGTAAATGCTTGACCTATTCTGTTTGAAGAGCTTTGAATTTAAGAATATCCATTGCATTCTTTGATGTGTGTATTCTTGAACATAAGTACATTCCCTCAAACAAGGCTTATTTAACAACATCCAAAGACATCATCCCAACCACACAAAAAAGCCACATCATACAAAGGCAATCAGTCTCTAGACATTAAACTAGGCTCACCTTATATATCAAAGCTGAGAGAGAAGGATCCCTGCCAACCCCTCGCCCACCGGGGATCTTCGACAGTGGGTGAGGGGCATCAGGAGCACCACAGAGGCCCTGGGACAATGTGCCTGCAGCACTGTAGTTGGGGGCAGTTACTCAAAGGCAAAATACTACTGGAAGAGAGGAAAAAAAGCACAAGGTTAGATTTGCAAGGCTGGACAGGATTCAGCTGAGACTCCAAGCATGTCAGCTTAGGCTGGGCCCAATGCATTCTGCAGGGCCGGCTGGCCTGCCCATGAAGTGAGGTGGGGCTGTTGCCTTAGGCGGGGGCTGCTGCGGCTGCACCCTGCTGCTGCACTCTCCCCGCTGCGCTCGGACTGCTGCTGTGGTTGCAACCTGGCTGCCAGACCTGCAGGGCACAGCAGCAGCAAGAAGGGTGCAGGACCAGACATGTAGGGTAGGGGGCAGTGGTGGCAGGGTGTTTTTCCTCAAGCAGCAAAAACGTCCCAGGCCAGCCCTGGCATTCTGGGTAGGCAGCTCTTAGACAAGTGGCAGAGAAAATGATTCCTACTGAACAGGGAGTGTGAATAGCAAACCCCTTCTATTGGCAGAAGTCCCAGATGACTAAAAACACATGATCAGATGAGCATACATTTTTCAATAAACAACTAGAAATAGAGCGACAAGATTCTTGAAGGAGAGGGGTTAGGTTTCATGTTTTCAGAAAGGGAAAGAGAAGAGCGCTGGTACTTCAAACCTTGTAACACATTATTCTAAGATTAGTGCAATGCTGCCACTCACAAGTGATCTTATCTGATGTAAATAATAATAGATGTGGTCCCTTTTGTTACATGAAGGCATGAAAGCAAAGGGGAGGGGAAGCATGCCAGTGCGATTTCAGATGTTATAAATTATTCCTGGATACTGCAGGTGCCTCAGATGTGGGGACTGCCTGAATCTCCTTTTTAAAAAAGTCTACCCAAGAGAGCAGAGTCAAATTAGTCAAACATTTTTTCTGTCCAAATGGCTCTTCACTGGGAAAAAATCAAGACAAGTGTTGTTCACTTATCTCTCTGAAGGTTTCTTTTTGCCTAGCACACATTGAATAAATTTGTCTCTGCACCCTCCTACAGGTTTTTTAATGCTTCTTACAATGTTTGAAGCAGCTCTGAAATTAGGAGTTTTCTGTCTTCACTTTAATAAAACATGAACAGCACACTTCCCATTTGCAATTTTGACATGGTGAAGTTACCAGAATAATATAATTAGCATTTCTTTCTAATCAGTTCCTAGTTCCTGTAGATATTTCACAACAGCAAATGCTTAGTGTTCCACCTGTTCTTTTACCACTGTACTCAAACAAAGCAGCACAAGATTACCATTTAATCATTTTGGTATGCTGGGCCCTGACATAATGCTAGGTGACAAGAAAAATAATACACAGCCAGTAAGAAAATATGCTCAAGCTGAAATAACTATTGCATTTCTTGTTCTATCAGATATTTAATGATGCCAAATATTTTGGCCCACTTTCTGCCCCATCCCATTTGGGGAGTGGGATGGTATTTGTCCCAATGTCTTGACACAGGGAGACTATGAAGTGAGAGGCCTGTGTTCATGGGTTCCATTTGCAGAAGCACACCAGTGGACACCTTGTGGGGATTGCTGAGAGCTGTCTATTCCTGCCACATGCGTACATTCATGTTGCATGTCATATGGGGCTCTTCACAATGACACTGTTGTACTTGCATTTGGCATTTGTGTTTTCCAGTTATGGCAACAAAGGGGAACCTTGACCCTGGCACTGAGGTAATACTGCCAATCAATGCTGCCCTTCCATAGCACACCAACTCATTTGGCACCACATAATATCTATACAGGTATGGCTAAATAGCAGCAGTCCTCTGCACTCATATGGAGGGCAGTCCTTCCAACTGGTGCAAGGCCATTTAGCATCCTATACATCCCAGACACTTCTGTACTAAATAGAATTAGGGCCTTTCCAGCACATACTTTAACTGCTTCCATACATTATCTCAAATTTTTTGACAAGACACCGGTAATTTATGACAATTGTTTATCATCCTCATTTTACAGAACACTTGTTATAACACAGAGAACAATTCTTTCCTCCCAGGATGGGCAAAACAACCCCCTATTGAAGGAACATGAGCCAACCTACTAAGTGGTTTACTTAAGGCAATGTTACAAATTCGCTACCAAGGAACTTTCAGGCTCAGAGATCATGCTTCTGACCACTGAAATAGGAATGACTTAAAGAGTCTGAAGGTACCTGCTATACTATGCTGTATTTCCTAGAACGTTTGCGGAAAAACAGGCAGCTTTTCAATCTTTCACTCTGTTCTGAAGTAAGAATACTTTCTATCTGAAAACTTCCCAAACCAGTTCCCACATGCCAATGTCAAAGGGAGCTGCACATACTTTACAGCACTGAGCAGAGCTCAGACTCAACAAGTTTCAGCTAGAAAATGCAGTCCTCACATGCCAGCTATACTAATTTCCAATACTGGAGCCCCAAGCTAACATACCCTGAACAACAACTAATTAACTTTACTGAAGCCAAGTTAAATTGACTGTATGCCCAACTTGAAAAGCAAATTGCTTGTACAGAACAAACAAGCATTCTTACAGAAGTTAATTCTGCCCATGAAGACTGATCCAAAGCAGCTGTATTGAAAGTGTCAGCAACTAAACTTGTATACATTAACTCGGTCTGTCTTCATCACCCATATACACTGCAACAATTAACTGACAAGCAGCTCTTCTTTTGTGCTGGTGTCTGGTAGAGACTGGTGTGGCGAAACACTTGACTGTGCATCTCTTCCCATCCCCCTTTGGCCTCCTAATATGGCTGCCAGATGTGCTTGTTTTCGCCAGTCAACAATACAGCATTATTGCTGCTGGAGGAAGCTTGAATAATCTAGTGAAGTGGTGAAAATCAAGATTTGTTTTCCCATACAAAGCAGTTCATTCTTGAAGTGCAAGGTTGTATAAAGAACCTTGGAGAGATGGATTCATCACATCTCTGACTAAAAGATGTGCATGTCTACACAGGCACATATACCTATACTTGAAGTTCCTGCAGCCCAATGAAGGGCAATTCTGCACCAAACAGTAGCTGTACGCATTATGCAAATAAGTACAGTATATCTGCATATTTTGTGGAATAGTCTCCTTCTGCCAGTCATGGGGGCAGCTATGCAGAACAATGAAGCCCCACCCCCTGACTAATGGGAATCTTGCTCAGCCCTCTCTGGCTTCAAAGTGATCAGGCAAGGCCCATAAACTTTCAAACTCACCTCCATAAGAAATTAAAACTTTTTAAAAGGAAAGCTGAAATTTTCAGGATACTAAATGTTTTGTCCAGTGATGGTTTCTGTGCTTTTACAATGTAAATCCAAAGAACCCTGAGCTTCTTCAATAAAAGGCACATATACCACCATTGTTGTGAACCTGTATGGAAGTACCACCTAATCTGTGGTATGCATCGCTTACTAGTATGCCTTCATATCGTTAGTCCAAAAAGTGGAACTTCATAGCACTTACACTACATGCTCACCATTAGAAAAGCACAAGAAGCAGCTATCTCACAAGCAGAAATAAAGGAATCAGAACTTAAATCACCCTAAGGATAGAGATGGAGTTAAAGGGTGTGTTATCAAGCCATCATTGTCCATGGTGGGTGTACATTTCCCCATTTTAAGGGGGCATTGTAGTGTTTCAAAACAAAAATCTGCTAAATATGTTTGGCCAGAAAAATAACAAAATCAATCAATTCTCTGAAAAAGAGTAATGTATGGCTACAGCCTAAATAATAAGCCATACTGTGTTGATCTGCCATTAATTCAACAATTTTCATACATCACAAGGATATGATCAGCCTACCCTAGTCAACCTCCAATCCCTCTTATTGGGATACTGGAATCAGAAATTACAGGGAAAAACACTGCAGACATTATATTCATGCCTTTGAAAAAGGTCTATATTCTGAAACAATCAAGATGAGCAAACAATCTGTATATGATACACTTGGATATTTGATTGCATAGATTCATCACAACTGGCAATTAATGTCATCTGATATATTCACTCAATGATGAAGATAGAAAAAAAGTCAAGTATTGCTTTTCCAAAGAAGGGCTTTCATATCATAAAACAAGAGGCAGAAATTCCAAGGTTCCTGTGAAAAAGCAAAGCTGAAATAACTGGGTCAGTAACAACTGGTAAAATTAAAAGACCAACCACAGATTACGTACATCATATCAACTGGAAACCACCAAGTGACGGAAAACAGCATACAACGGAAATTTTAAATGGCATGGACAAAGAAGCCCGTGTGCATGAGTGAACAGAAGGTTCACTGGAACTCCATCCCTTGTTTCAAATAGTACCACCTAGTGTTCAGAAACTCATTCTGAGATGCAACACCACACACAAGAGTTAACCACAGAAATAACTTAATTACCAAAATGGCAGTAGTATGTACACAAAGAAATCAATCAATCTATCAGCCAATAAAGACCTAGGAATCTAAGTAGAGAGGATAAAGTCCTATCCAAAGTAATATTGATTCTGTTTTATCCACAATAGCATAAACTGCATTCATAACAGCAGCAGACAATTTAACCAAGGAAAACAACAATACCCATCCAGTTGTAGGCTACATCTAGGAGAGTGCATGTGCGTCCCCTGCCTAGAAGCCTGTGAGGATCACTGCTAGGTAGAGAAATTGTTTTCCATATACCACACAAAGAACGTAAGTAGACAAGTGGACTTGTACCACTGGGGATTCGTTTTTAAGGCTGTTTCAATGTTCTTATGAGGAGCTCTTCTGCACACTAATGTAAATAATCACTATTAGGCTGTAGCAGAAAAAGAACTTTTGAGCCTTTTGTTAACACTAAAAAAAAAATGCTACTCCAAGAATTAAAGAAAGAGGAAAGGCCCAGGAAACTGATAAAACACCAGAATGCCACTGAGTTAACTGTGGGGACTTCCATTATGGAATGCCCTATCATGACTCTGATAGTTTAAGTAAACAGAGTTGTAATTGTGAGCTTCACAAACATCCTATTTGTGCACTCTATGAATGTTACAGAGTACAAATTATACAATTTTGCTTGCATACAAATACCAAACCTGGAGCACAGAAACGGTGAGTATAAAGAATTGGAATCATAGAGTCAGAAGAGACAACACAGGTCACCAAAGTCCAACCCCCAGCTGATACAAGTAATCTGCTGTTACAGCATTCCTCATAAGCAGCCATCCAACCTCTGCTTAGAATCCTCTAACAAAGACAAAGACCTTCCACCATAATTTGTTCAATTGTTGAAAAGGAGTTTTCCTTGATGTTTACCTTTCCTGCAAACTGGAACCTGTTGGTTCAGGTCATACAAATTTGCCCTATGATAACAGAAAGAATGGGGAAACTCAGCCCAAGGGGCTCAAAGCAGCCCTCCAGGCCTTTTTGTTTGGATCCTCAAGCCACACACCCTCTTCCTACATATTCATTCAGTCCTAGCCTATTTCCTCCTTGAGTGTTGTCACCTGTCTAGGTGTTCTTGAACTGTGATCATGTCTGCCTAGAAAAATGATAACGGAATAGGCCCCTTGCGCTGAAAAAGATTCACCACCCCGATCTATGTGAGAGCCCTTCAGATATTGGACAATTTCTATCTTACCACTTCTTAATGGTCTCTTCTCCAGACTAAGTATACCCTGTGTGCAATCCACACACAGAGTTGACTCTGTATTTTTCAACATCTACTGATACATCTTTTCAATAAGATACATACAAGGGTACAAGCAAAAGCATATTTACCGTAACTGGAAATAGAACACTAGGTTCATCAGCCAGCCAAAATTTCAAAAGAAAAAACTAGCTGTGCTGCCAGGTAAAAATGCATTCTAGAATGCAGTAATGTTTTGACATACTAAACTTGATGTTTTTACAACAAACATATTATTTAAAATAGGAAGTCTAAAATTAGTTTTAAACTGCTTTAATGCTTTATTTCATGATGCTCTAATCTGCCCTGGGACCTTCTGGTGAAGAGCAGGTGTTATAAATCAAACAACAACAACAACAGGATCTTACACTTTGAAGCGAGAGTGATACTTGCAAGGCAGATTGTTCATAAACTCCAGTGTATGTTAAAGAGGATCACTACCACACACCACTATTGCTGACCTAATTTCTAGACCTCTGAATGGATAGAATTACTTAACCATTTACATAACACAAGAGGCCTTAAGTAGATTTTTAAAAACATCCTGATGAGTCTCTTATGTTCATCTTACTCAAATTTAACAACACATCAGAGCCCCTTATTCCACTTTGCTGTACTGTACATTGTGAATAATGGAGAGTAAAATAACTAAGATTGTATTTGTGCTTCTTTGGAAGTTCAGCTACATGTATGTCTTGGACAAAGCTAAGAACTCCTTCCTTTGAACAGCTGTAAACAAAGGGCCTTCCTGTTTTGCAAAGCATCGAGTTTTTCCAGACATGCATGTAAGCACTTGCCAGCTCAAGTGACAATTTGACTTCAAACTTTTAACTATTCAATTTCAAATTAGAAACTAACATTTTATGTTGGAGAAAAGAAGCTGCATGCCTGAGAAGGCTGTTCCCAAAAGCATTTTAAGCAGCTTCCTTTCTGTTTTAAAATCTGGGCTCTGCTGCCAGGTGGGCTATTCATACATTGGCCTTCCCAAAGAAATATTTGCCTCTTTGAGTCACCTGAAGACATTTTTGACTTTCAATTACTTTCCAGTCTACATGTGTGCAAGTGCACATACATACACAGATGAACCCAGAGCTTTTTCAAATAGCCACTCTTGGGGAATATACATGGTATATAAGAGCTAGCAAATATATGTAGCATATCTGGCAAATATCTGCAGGTTTCTCTCTTGTATAAAGAGTTATTTATCAAAATACAGGATATGAGTGGCTGTAGTGCAGTTTGGAGCACAGCTAATAGCTGGATGGAGGCCAGTATGATGTGGACATGGCAGGGGCCAACAGTGAAGCTCACCAAGTGCCATGAGCAAGTTTATGTCTCAGCCTAAACTTCCACAAAGGACAGTCACACAAGTAACTGTAAAAGTGCTTTGTAAATATTCTGCTTAATCTCCTGTATTTTTCTCCTTAGATTTCCTTCAGGCACCTTCACTCAACTCACTTTTGGAAGGCTTGCACCTACATCTAATTGCAATTTGATTATTGACCAATCACCACAAGCAAAATGTGGGGTGCAGGGTGAAAATTATCACAAGACCCGGAGAAGAACTGCCTACTCTAACTGGTTGTTAAGAGTCTGTCTTCACCCTCCTAGTGCAGAAGACTGAGCACACTAAAAAAAACAACCCCCTCATGTACTGCAGTTATTAAGAGCCTTAGTATAGCTATCCAGTTTTGGGGGTAATTCTGTGTTTCCACAGTAGTACAGTAAACATTATTTAGGCATACCCTAGGGAAGCTGGTTATTCATCAGCCCCAGATACCTAACTATTCAATTACAGAACCAGACCAAACCACAATCCCAAGAGTGTGCGTCCACCTAACTTATTTGTGCATCCACCTTTCTGAAACACGGAGCATCCATGAATAACACAACTAAGCACCCTGATGCTGTTTGGTGTTCTTACAGCCATTTTGAATGCAATGTGATGTGCTGTCACAAACCTTCCCAAAGTCTTCTGACCAATGGTGTACCAAACCATTATCTGAGTTCCTGGTGCAAGACTTCTATAATCACTATACCTGTTTCCTGTACCATTTCCTTATCTATTTCCCTCCTATTGATTTCGGACTTATTCCTCCTAGTCTGCACACATTTGCACCTTGCTCTAACTTGTTAACCCCGGATTTGCTTCTTTGTTAACATACTATGAGTGCACCCAGTGAACAGTCTGGGAACACCTGATGCTTCAGTGAAACTAAGCATCAATTCCTGGATGGGGAGGCTGTAAGGGAGTCCCCACAGAGGTAACTGTGGTATGCCATTTTAAAATGCAGAGTCACCCCATGGATTGGGGATTGCAGAGTGTCAGGATCTTAGCTTCAAGGGGGCACGGGGGGGGGGCAAAAGTGGTTACAGGATTTAACAGTGGATTGCAGAGACGGGGGTGGGGTGGAGACGGGATGGCAGTGGGACAAAGCTGCCTCTACCCATTTACCAGAGGCTGAAAAGGGGGAAGCGAAGACGAAGAGGAAAAAAGCTCTCTTCGAAAACAAAGTCCTGCGATCGCGGTGACAACAAAACACCCGCCACTCCTTCGCCCGGCACTTCTGGGGTAGACGTGCAAATCTGCAGCAGGCGCCCCCCACCCTCCCTCGGTCCACTGCCGCCCCCCAGCCCCACCCGCCCCTTTTGCACGAGCGCGTGCAAAGCGCCCCGCGCTGCAACCAGCCCTCCCCACCAGCGCGGGCGCGCGCCCACAAAAATAAAATAAAATAAAAGCAATCCCCGCCGCCCCCTCCCCACACGCATTTCGCTCTCTGGCAACTCCACCCCCCCTACCCCCCTCCATTTTGTATCATCCGGGTCTATTCTGGGGTTACTGAGGGTAGGCCGCTTCCAAAGGAAGGCCACGATCCTGAAGGGCGGCGACGGGAGCAGAACGGTGAGGAGAGGAGATGCGGGGCGAGGTACCCCCCCCCCGTCCGCCGCTTCCTTCAGGGTCCCTGAGGCGACGTAGGCCGAAGCCTCCCCTCCTCCGCCCCCTCAGTACCTGTCCTGGGTGTTTATCATCCTCGGGGCTCGGCAGGGCGGAGGCGGGGGGGAGGTCGGGAGGAGGCGCTCGCTTTCGGGCCTCACAGCAGCTCCTCCCTTCGCGAGCGCCCAGCTCCGACTGACGGACTGGCAAACCAGGAGCGCGAGCCGCCGCCGCCGCCGCCTATGATGCCTCCGCCCGCCCCGTTACTCATCTGCATAGCCACGCCCCTCCGCCAGGCTGCCTGGGAAACAGGCCGCTCGAAACAAAGGCGCGCGCGCGCGGCGGAGGGGGGCGGCCGCGCGTACTGCGCAGGCGCGAAATAAGTTGACAGGCGGCACGTGGACAGTTACGTGGGCTTTGGTAGAGGTGGGCTGTTGCCTGCGCGCGCCAGTTTAGGATCCACGCAGCCCCGGATCGAACGCTGCGCGCGCCTTACCTGTTGCTCTGCAAAGCCACCTATTCTTATTATTCTGGAGAGTTGGCCTTGGTCAAGATTTGACGTTTTCAGCCCCAAAGAGTTTTTGATCTGAGTTTCTACTGAAAGGAGGCTGCATTTTAATGCTGTATTTTAATCTTGTTTTTAAGTTTTATTTTACTTCAGTTGTTTTATTAGCCGCCCTGAGCCCGGTCTTGGCCGGGGAGGGCGAGGTATATATAATTTTTTTTATTATTGTTATTATTATCATTGCTGCTAATGCGGCAATAATTCGCGTTCTCAGGTTGGGCTGCGCTTCTTTAGCTCGAGAGCTCGCCTCTGAGCGAATAAGTGCAGGGTTCAGACACGTGTCGCTGTGCACGCAGAGCCCATGGCCCATTAAGTTCAATGGAACCTACTCCCAAGTACTCGAACATGGCTGGGTGGCCACGCCTTATACTTCTTAGAGGGCAGACCCCTATTTGAGGGCGTCCCCTGTTTTAAGGGATGTCTGCTCAAAGTCCTTTTTTAAAAATGAAGGGAGAGCAAGAGGGGCCTTGGAGTTGCCCACCAGCAGTCAGCACCTGGACAGCACACTGAGCAAGCACACAGGCCACTTGGTCAAAGTACAGTCATACCTCAGGTTACGAACGCTGCGGGTTGCGCGTTTTCGGGTTGCGGACCACGCCGAACCCGGAAGTACCAGAACGGGTTACTTCCAGGTTTCAGCGCTCGTGCATGCGCAGAAACGCAAAATGACGTAACGCGCATGTGCAGAAGCGCCGAATCGCATCACGCGCATGCATAGACACGACGCTTCAGGCTGCGAACGCTGCGGGTTGCAAACGTGCCTCCCACACGGATCACGTTCACAACCAGAGGTATGACTGTAGTCTCTGTTAAGGTGGGAGGCGACGTGCATGTATTTGAATTATAGTAATTATTTGTTTTCATAATGTGGATCTATGGGTATAAATTAGAACGTGCAATTCGAACATGCAATTTTAATGCAAATCTGTGTCACCCTTTTTTCCTGAGATGCCTTTCCTTTTTTTGCCACCCTAGTTAATATGGTTTTACACTGCCATAATCGCCCTCTCTTGTTTTAGTTTGTTTTTTTTAAAATGATATTTATTAAAATTTCAGAAACAAAAAATTACATAGTTAAAGAGGAAAGAAACAAGGGAAGATATATATATATAAAAAGAGAAAAAACATACAAAATACAAAGTACAGAAAAAAAATAATAAAACAAAACACTTAAAAACAAATTAATCCTTCCATATCTTACATTTCGTTTCCTTGCTTCCCTGACCTCCTCTCACCTCCCTTTTTTGTATTCCAGTTCAATTGGTTAATTCAGCAATTCCTTTCCCTCTTTGTTTATGTCTTAGTCCTTTAGCTTAATATATTATAACTTTAGATTCTCACCTATTAACCATCCATTTTTACATACACCTTTATGACATTGCTGCTAGAACCACTTAATTTCATTCTGACATCATTCTAACATTTATTAATTTTACAATATTTCTGTAAATAGTCTTTAAATTTCTTCCAATCTTCTTCCACCGACTCTTCTCCCTGGTCTCGGATTCTGCCAGTCATTTCTGCCAATTCCATATAGTCCATCACCTTCATCTGCCATTCTTCCAGAGTGGGTAGATCTTGTGTCTTTGCAATAAGTATTCTTGCTGCTGTTGTGGCATACATAAAGAAAGCCTCTCTTGTTTTAGTTTGATGTTTCCTTGCTAACTACCTCAAAAAGCTAACTAGACTAAGGTTGCACACATTTAATTAGGTTGGGACTGGGAGTAGGATCATCTGAACACAATTAAACTTCCCAGGAAACATGCATAAGCTTGTACTGCCTAGCTTCAAAGCTATGCACGCTTCACTTTGAGCATGGCTGGTCTTTCTAAAGTTGCATAGGATTAAGCAGCACAAGGTGAATCACTGCAGGATGTGACCTTTGCCCTGTTTCTGGGTTAAATGTGCTGTGCAAGCAAGCACTTGTCATGGGAATCCCTCTTCCGTCTCTTGACACCCTCCACTGAGCCACAGCCAGACATCAAGTGTTAAAAATGCCTCTTCTTTAATGCTGACGATACAAACTGACTCTTATAAGAGCTGAAGGCTTAACGGTGACAAGCAAGACAAAGGCTTCTCCCATCACAAGAGATCACCAGCCTAATGCCTAATCCTATTTGCCATGGGACAGGGAGGAATTATTTAATGGCCACTCACACTTATTACATAATAGAATTTGCTAAAAATATATTCTAGGGGGTATCTGATCTCAGATGAAACCACCACAGGAAAGATGTGTCCTGTTGCTAAGAAGAAAGGAAGAGGAAAAGGGAAATCTAGTAGGTCTTTAGAATAAGAGATTCCAATAACTAAAATAGGAGACAGGAGCAGGAAAGAAAAGAGCACTAAAGGGGAGAATAAAACAGTTGTTGAGGACCACAGGGATTGTAAACCACCATGCGACCCTCGGATGAAGGACAGTATAGAAATTTAATAAATAAAATTTATATATGTGTGTGAGAGAGGAGAGAAAGAGAGAGAATCACATACAGAAGTTCAGTATATCAGGAGAAAATGCTGGTCAAAAGGTGTCCATTTGTCAAAACCATACAAAAATATGTTTATTAGAGGAAATTTGCATGGAAATGCTGAAGAATTTTCACTGGATTTTTTGTTCTTTTATGAGGAGATTCATCAGTTGCTGCAGAAATATGGGGAACTGGATTTAAGACTGGAAAAAATGGAAAACCAATAGAAGCAACATTGATGGATACTTCCACCTGTATTATCTAGGATAGCTGTCTTCTACAGTGGTACCTCTGGATGAGAACGGGATCCATTCCGGAGCGGTGAAACCCGGAAGTAATGCTTTCCGTTACTTCCAGGTCACCACAGAGCGCAACCCGAAAATGCTCAACCTGAAGCAACTTCAACCCGAGGTATGACTGTACTTCCACCGTCAGAGGAAGATATCTGAGATGCCTTTTCCAAAATCTGCCCCTGAGCACAGGCTCCTCTGTGCTCACACCCACCCCAATGCCAACTGTATCACAGGTGACTTTCTTTCTCACTTCTTTAGATGCTACAAGTCTGCGTCACCCAATGTAACAGCTTGTTCACTCTACAGGAAGTCAAAATCAATTGGAGTCCGAGTTCAAAAGAAGCCTATTACTGTCATTCTCCCCACCCTCCTTCTCATTTAATGTCCTTATTAGAGGAAGAGCTCTATTTATATTGCTCAGGAAAAACAAAACCAGCCTTTCCCCCAGAGGCTGCTGATTGTTACTAAAGGAAGTTGGAATGTGCTACATATTATTTTTAGGATTCACATGGGAAAAAAGCTTGTACTGTTTCATTGCCAACCACGGGGAAATAAGAAAATGGTATCAAGTGCGACATGTTTATTTGATACCAGACTTCAGTCTGCTTCGTACTTTGCAGGAGTGTTAACGAAATAAAAATGTTTCTTCCCGTAGCACCTTAGAGATCAGCTACGTTTGTTATTGGTATGAGTGTTGCTGAGGATGGGTTTTTGGGGGGAGAGGAAGAAAGAACCAGTACTTTGCAATGAGCTCTTGGAGAAAAGGTTTGGAGGGATGCCATAAATCAGAAACACCCTTAAACTTTAATGCAGATATAGACAAAGTGCTGCCCTACAGGCGTTGCAGGTTTTGTTGGGACTACAATTCCCATCCAGTCAGCATAGCTAATGGTCAGGGATGATGGGAATTGTAGACCAATGACACGGCTGGGATAGCTCAGCTGGTAAAGCATGAGACAGTTAATCCCAGGGTCGAGGGTTCAAGCCCCATGTTGGGCAAAAGATTCCTGGATTGCAGGGGGTTGGACTAGATGACCCTCATGGTTCCCTCCAAATCTATAGTTCTATGATTCTGTGACACCTGGAGGGCATCATATTGGCTACCCTGGCTTTAATGCATTATTGTGCAACCCTGGAAGTAAGTTATATTGAAATAAATGAACCTTAGTCTCTGTCTCAGGTATGTGAGGTTAGGACAGCAGCTTTGTACTGAGCCTCTTGGGCTTGCCGATTGGAAGGTCAGCGGTTCGAATCCCCACGATAGGGTGAGCTCCCGTTGCTCTGTCCCAGCTCCTGCCAACCTAGCAGTTCAAAAGCATGCCAGTGCAAGTAGATAAATAGGTACCACTGCGGCAGGAAGATAAATGGCGTTTCCATGCGCTCTGATTTCTGTCATGGTGTTCCGTTGCTCCAGAAGCGGTTTAGTCCTGCTGGCCACATGACCCAGAAAGCTGTCTGTGGACAAACGCTGGCTCCCTCGGCCTGAAAGCGTGATGAGCGCCACAATCCCATGGTCACCTTTAACTGGACTTAACCATCCAGGGTTCCTTTACCTTTTTTTAAAAAAAACTTGGAGCAGAACTATTGAATTTCATAGCTCTAGTTAATGATAAACTTAGGTGTGTCCATTAATTTTAATGGGTCTACTCTGAGTAGGGCCAAAGTTGTATACACTCCTTTGAAGCTGACCCGGAAACTACAACTAATCCAGAATGCAGCAGCTAGACTGGTGACTGGGAGCAGCTGCTGAGACCACATAACACCGGTCTTGAAAGACCTACATTGGCTCCCAGTAGTTTCTGAGCACAATTCAAAGTGTTGGTGTTGACCTTTAAAGCCCTAAACGGCCTCAGCGCAGTATACCTGAAGGAGCGTCTCAACCCCCATCGTTCAGCCCAGACACTGCGGTCCAGCTCTGAGGGTCTTCTGCTGGTTCCCTCACTGCGAGAAGCAAAGTTACAGGGAACCAGGCAGAGGGCCTTCTCGGTAGTGACGCCCGCCTTGTGGAACGCCCTCCCATCAGATGTCAAAGAAATAAACATCTATCTCATGTTTAGAAGACATCTGAAGGCAGCCTTGTTTAGGGAAGTTTTTAATGACTGATGTCTTAGGTAAAGGTAAAGGGACCCCTGACCATTAGGTCCAGTCGTGACTGACTCTGGGGTTGCGGCGCTCATCTCACTTTATTGGCCAAGAGAGCTTCGGGGTCATGTGGCCAGCATGACTAAGCCACTTCTGGCAAACCAGAGCAGCGCATGGAAATACTGTTTACCTTCCCGTTGGAGTGATACCTATTTATCTACTTGCACTTTGACATGCTTTCGAACTGCTAGGTGGGCAGGAGCAGGGACCGAGCAACGGGAGCTTAATGTATTTTAAATCTTTTGTTGGAAGCCGCCCAGATTGGTTGGGAAACTCAGCCAGGGTATTATTATTATTATTATTATTATTATTATTATTATTAGAAATTGTTTAAAATGCTGGATTAGGACTGAGAAGACTTGGGTGCAAATCTCCATTCATCTTTTAGGCTACATTCACAGAAGCCTAGTACCCAGGTCTTGAGAGAAGTCATTGTTTTGTCTACTCTGCATTGGACAAGCTGTACCTGGAATTCTGCTCTGGGTGCCACATTTGGAGAAGGACATTGACAAACTGGAGCGGATCCACAGCAGCACATCCAGGGGTCTGGAGACCAAGTCCCACCGAAGAGTGGAAGTGAAAGAAGTCAGTGAGGGAGAGCTGAACATTTGGCTGCAGCTGCAGCCAGCTGCCTGGCGAAGGAAGGGGATGGAGCACCACATACAAGAGAATTGTCTTGGGGATGTTGCTACAGTGCAGCTCTCTTCTTATCCTAGCCCCCACTCTGGTCATAATTTCTTAGAGTCTCTTCCAATGGCCTTCTGGCATCCCCCCAAAGAGCTGCTGCAACAGGAAGGGCAACAGGCCGTGGGAACAGATCCTGTGAGACAGCTCGCGGCAGCGGACAGAGCCAGCTGCTTCCCCTCCTGCCACCCCCACTTTCCCAAACCCTGTTCAGCACGGAAGCTGGAAACAATATGCCAAACGTGAGCCAAGCACTGGCAGTCCAAACAGACGCAAAATAGACGCACGTGCTGTGCCATGCACCCTGCTTTGCATCCAGCGGTGCCCTTTGCACCTTTCCACAGGCTGCATGTGCCAAATGCACTATTTGTGCCACGCTGTCCAGCTTGAATATCCCACACCAGTCGTGGGCATTGCTAAGCATGTTTTCATGCACAAACTTTAAAATTGCAGGCAGGTTTGAACCAGCTATTTTCTAGCGCTGATCACGAACTGTCGTGTATCCGTTTTAAAAGGTTGTGTGAACCAAATGATCAGCCGCCCAGTTTAGAACTGACCAGCTGCTGGTTTTGCTGACCCTGCTTTTGCCTAGAAACTGTGCTGGACCTAAGCCTACAAGGCTTCCTGGGCACTCTATGCAACAGTTCACTCAGTATACCTTGATGCAAACTTTTGGGTGGTTGCTTACACATGAGCCAGAGAAGAGAAAATGCATAGCCAAAAAGGAGATCCATTTGCATTAAAATTGCATATGCTATTTTGCATGTTTAGATGCAAATTCAGAACCAAAAATGCCATAGTGGGGCAACCCATATGTCCTGTTCAACCATGTGCTTTCTCAATCTCCTGTCCGAGTGCAGTTAATTGGTGATAGGCATCTTCCAGGCCCCTCTTGCTCTTCATTCTTAGACTTTTAAAATCTTTCAACCTGACTTGGACCAGAGAGAGAGAGGACTCCTTCAAAATAGAGGACTGTGCTTTGCAAAGTAGTAAACATGACTGATCCCAGTACAAGCTAGACATTCAGGCTGTGGTCCAAAGATCTTGTATAAGTTCTTAATATCTGCCACTTCTTGCAGTGGAAGGCAAGCCCTATCTGCACTCTATGTTTAGGGGCTCTCCTAAAAACTATCGGCACCTTTAAAAAGCTGCGGCTCCCAGGATTATTTGGGAGATGCCATAACTGTTTAAGGTGGCATAGTATTGCTTTAAATGTACAGGGAAGATGGGGCTTCAGACACACCTCACCAGGAAGGGCATTCCACAAGCAGGGAGCCACCACTGAGAAGGCCCTGTCATGGGTCAACATCAACTGGGCAACCACCAGTGGAGCCACCACCAAGGGTCCAAGATAGTTGATGTTGGGTGAGGTGCTCTTTTAGGTCCCCAAGCCATTTAGGGCTTTGTATGCTAGTAGTAACACCTTGAATTGGTAGCTCATTGACAGTCAGTGAAATGCTTTCAGGACCAGTGAGCCTCACTGGGCTGCCCTACATATCTTCCTAACAGCTGCTAGTTAAAAACTGAGATAAGGTCACCTAGTGAGCTTCCTTGCTTATTTATCTATTTTTCAACTTGTAAGTCATTATCTTTAAAACACAAAGTAACGCAAAGTGACTTACGAAAAATGAATTCATATAAACCACCATAAACCCTAAAACAGAGTAAATACTGAAAACACATCTGTATTTATGAAAAGGTAGCACTAACATCCCACCCACTGAAGGAAACCACAAATAATTAAAGGCCTAAGGTCTGGTGGAAGAGGAACATTTTTGCCTGGCACCTGACAATAAATAGATGATCAGGAACATGCTAGAGAGTAAAACCTATTGAACTCATTGAACCTATTGACTTACTTATGAATAAAAATGCTTAGGATTGCAGCATAAGGATGCACAGTCTTTACCCAGTAATCTGGGAGTAAACTCCATTAAATAAAGCGGGACATACCAGTACTTCATAGTAGACAGTGCAAGGCTCCATTTACAATAAAGGAATAAACACTCCACACATTTCCTTTAAAAAATGGCTGGCTGCCAAAGCGTTGCAATTAAAGAATTTAAAGTGTATACCACATGCAGGGAGCCAACTCTGAAAGGCCTGTTCTCATGTCAACACCCTCTGCACCTCTCTCAGAGGAAGCACACAGAGAAGGGTCTAGGATGATAAATACAGGGTCCAGGTTGGTTTGTGTGAAGAGGGGCAGTCCTTGAGGTTTCATGGGAAAGTGAAAATTTGAACCTAGTGCAAACACTCTAACCACTGCACAACGTTGCTGAAGCATCAGCGCTGCAGGTCACAGTGTTCCATGGGTGGTCAAGTACTTCTTCAGTGTGCCTGCTCAAACAGCCATTGTCCCCACACCACTGGCTTGAAAGGTCTATAAAGCTTACCAGTCAAGCTGGGCCTTTGTCTGTTTATTTACAACAAAAGCTGGATACTGCCATTTCATTTTTAAAAGTTAACAACATTTATGTCTATATCTGTACAATAATAACACACATCTCTCTATCCTTCATCCAGGCAAGCAAAAAGCATTATCAGAGATCAAGGGACCAAGTCTAGCCAGGCAAAAGCACTCAAGGATGATGTAAGCAGGACTGGTGAGTGCTATAGCCTAGAGCAGGCAAAGGCAAACTTGGCCCTCCAGATGTTTTGGGACTACAACTCCTATGATCCCTAGCTAACAGGACCAGTGGTCAGGGATGATGGCAATTGTAGTCCCAAAACATCTGGAGGGCTGAGTTGGCTTTTGCCTGGCCTAGAGACCTAAGGCCAAACAGAGGGGTCTGACGGGCTGAATACAGCCCCTGAGTGTAAGGTTCCTAGCCCATGATTTCCCCATGCCTGATTCCTGGTTGGCTCACAACTCCAAACAACCTAAGGATTAGATATTAACTTTGTGGGTTTCTATTGTGGAAGCCTGAATAGGTCATCTTTCTCAACAAAGAGGCTGTGCCAAAGAGCCAGATTTCGAGGAAGATCTGGGCCTCTTTTTTATTGTCTAGTTTGGGTCTCTTCCGCATGCCCTCAATGAGAGAAGAAAAGCATATGCCTACTGCTCGCCAGTAGATGGTAGCACAGGCTTTGGCACTAGAAAGGCTCTCGGCTATTGTTATTTGCAGCTGTTGCATTGGATACAGTGGTGCGCTTGTGAAGAGGAGATGTTC